CCTTAGGAACCCAGCGGGCGGCGGCAAGATTTGCAATCTGGCTTCCGGTTAAGGTCTTATGTGGTGTGGAGGTCTTCGGGTTCAGAGTTGCAAATTCTCTGACCTCGGATCCTAGACCTGACAACGTTGAACCACGAGGACACGGAGGCATTGAATGCTTGGTATGAGGAATCTGCCCTCGCCGATTGCCTGAAACAAAGGGATAGGGACGAGATTGCAAACTCTTCATGTTTGCTGTTTGTTCCACAGACGATGGTCACGGGCAAGGCAGGTAATATAAAGTTCCCACATTCACCAAGATAGAGAGCACACGTACTCAGAGTTCAAGAGCCCAAGAGAAGACTTCTCGGGATGTGGGCACTTCTCTAAATTAGGGTCCCCTTTTAGGTCCCCAAGATAGTACGGCACCTTTATAAGATAAAAATGACCCTAAAAGGGACCCCAATTTAGAAAACTACGTATGTGATGCTAGGACGAAGAAGGCCCAGGAAAAACGGGGACCAGAACCCCGAGCTTGGGGTCACAGCCTTCAAACCCCCAAACCGCAAAAAAAAATGAACCCAAGATCCCGAAGAGAACTCTACTGTGCTTCCAAGAGGTACCTACAACCCCCGAAAAAGCCTGGAGAGCCCTCTACAAAAGCAGGGAAGCCAAAGAGAAAAAAACAAAATTGCCCAAATTGGCACATCCCATGGCCATGAAGAGACTCAGGCTCCGGAGCGGCGGATGTGCTTCACCCCGCCGAGCTCAGCACGGGCATGAGCTCAGTGGACTTCACCCCTCTGAAGCCCATGGCGCCTCGGAGGAAGAGGGTCTTACAGTCTTACAGGGAGTAGGAGAACATGGCGCCTTGGAGGAAGAGGGTTTCCCAGGAGGATTAGGAGAAGAGGGCCTCTAGAAAAGAAGAAAGAGCTCAGCATGGGAGGCTTTGGGAAGGTGGGTTTGTCCCGGGTGTTGACATCTCACACGCACACAGACACACACACACACACATATATATATATATTGTTTATTTTAGATGGGTCATTCTCAAGAGTGTGTTACAGAGAGGGAGATTGGCGTCAATACCTATGGACCTGCAACAACACCAGCAGTGCAAAGAAAAGGCCCTACCGCCAACAAGCAGCCACCACCAAAACCTGGGAAATAACTCCCATATATAAAGGAGACCAAACACACACACACACCCCCCGCGGTACTTGGCAGGCCCCCGCCCTGAACTCGGCCAACACCACCAACAAAAGGCAAAGAGAAAGCAAACTCAAGGGAATTCTGGGGTCGCTTTGCCTGGGATCTACGCGCACCTGAGTCCGGGAAGGTTTCATTGGTCTGCTCGCTGATGTGCTTCGAGATGTGGTAGAAGTGTAGCATGCTTCAGGGGTGTCCTATTTGGTTTCGGTTTAGGGTGTTTTTGGGTGTGTCAGCGGGGTAGAGACTGAAGTTGTGGAGCCTGCCTCGCTAATCCTGTCGTATCCTGCTGTGCCACTCAGCTCCCTGCGACTTTACTTGGCTCACCAACCTCGAGTTATACTTAAGATCGCTCAGATCACGTGGCCCTGTAGAGTTTGTGGCCGTTTGTCGCAAGGGGGCTTAGAGGGCATATGTCAGGGACTCCCACATACTCAGAACCTATGCCTGAAGAAAGAACCCCAAAAGAAAAGTATCGTCGAGGATACGGACTTTGAAGGCAATGGTGCCGTTGAAGTGACCCGAGATTCTTGACTGCATCTTGAGAGCCTTTCAGCGAAAAAGTACGAGCTTAAGTGTTGTTGGAGTCTCAAGAGGTGTTGTCACAGCCGGGCTGCAGTTCCAAAGGACAGGAGGTCTAGGATGGTTTACACGGCGTGTCATAGAGCTCCAGTGTGAGACGTATTCCTCAGTCCATGTAGAAGCTAGCGCAGGCTTTTATCTAAACTCCTGGAAGTCTTATCTCATGTCCCACCACACCTGGTTTCGGAAACTGCACGGGGGGGAGGGGGGGGGAGGGCGAGCATGGCATGAGCAGCATGGCAGAGGCAGGGCGGTCAGTGCACCTCACGATGCATCTCGGAAGCTGGGACCGAGGTCGGCGTCTGCAAGTTTTGTCTAGGCCAGGGCATCAGAGAAGCAAAACGGGTGAGTGTGGGGAGGACAAGGCGGCACACGTCAGGCGTGCATGCTGAGCGCTTGCTGTTCGCATGGGCGGCACATGCTTTGGGGGCGGCGGGGGGGCGCGGGACGGAGTTTCGGAGTTGAAGATCATGTGCTGGTTTTGCAGGTAGCTCGTCCCTGTTGCCTTGCAAGGGGACGCACCCAGCCCGCCGCCCCTTGATCCGTGTCAAAGGCGCCCGCGGATGACGTGCCGCGGGTTTTTGTGTACTCTCTTGCTTGCATCTCAGGAGGGCATGGGCCAAAGTTTACTCGGCATTTTGGCAAGCACCTGGAGTTGGCGCAAGAAGCCAAAAGCAGGTTGTCAGAGGTTTGTGAGAGCCTGCCTGAGCTAGAGTTATGGCTTCGATTCTGGCTCTCCCAACTCTGATGGTAGATCTCCACTGTGACTGTGGAGCCTGCAAGCTTGCACTTCACAGGCCTTGAACCTGAGAGGGGCCTAGGTGCTCTATGTGGGAGTTTCCGAAAATCAGGGGTACCATATTTTGGGGTCCATAACAAGAAGGACCTAGTATTTAGGGTATTACATTAAGGGCCCCCCTACTTTCGGAAAGTCCCATGTTTGGTCATGGCTATTTACAGTCCCGGGGGGGTGGGTCCCAGCCCAGGCACAGGCTCGAGCAGCGGGGCGTCTCGAGCCGGCACCGGCGGTGGACTTGGCAACAAGAAGCATCTCGGAACGGAGGAAAAATTATGATATTTGGGGCTGCCGGGGGGAGGGGGAGGATTGTGGCTTGCATGGTTATCTTGAGCCAACCAAAACCATTTACTGAAGAGGCTACAGTGCAAACGCCTCTAAACTCCAAAGCCAAGCTGGAATCCAGCAGCCATGTTCTTGATCATCAGGAAGCAAATCCTCTCCCCAAGCCCCTAAACCCCTGAACCCTAAACCCCTAAACCCTAAACCCCTAAACCTTAAACCCCTGAAGCCTAAACCCTTAAATCCCTAAACCCTAAACCCCTAAACCCTAAACCTAAGACCTGTCCTTCACCTGAACTGCCGATCTAAGCTTGAAGCTCTAGTCGCTTGCCACTTCAGTACCGTCCCCGGAGACCCCAATACCTCTCAATTAAGGAATATACAATACCTTAAAATATACGATACCTTGAATCATAATATTAAGGCCCCTAAAATTTTAAGGTCTATTCCTTAACGAAGGGGTATTAGGTTCTCTGGGTCTTGCCCGACTCCACATCACCTGCACACTGCCACACCAATGATCTGCCCGTGTCAACCCCCAACCGCTATGCCACTATGCACCTGGGTGCCTGTACATCCGCAAAGGGCGCGGTGGCCTGTTGGGGGGGCAGTCTTGCTGGTGCTAGCATGTTGTCATTGTTGATGATACAAATCCTGCATTACCTTTAAGGACCCTAGAATTATGGGCATTATAGTACATTCCTTCTTGTCTTATTTATGGGTAATGCTCAGGACTTATATGAAACCCTAAACCCCTAAACCCTAAGCCGTATTTTGCTTGGTTTTTTTGGGGGGGCCGGGCTGAGCCTATACCGGGGCGGCTGAGGTTTAAGAAGCTGCCGAAGATCCCGCAGGCCAAGTTCGAGGCGGCAAAGCTGCTGCAATGCACGCTAAGGCCAAGTTTTGCCTTTTAGGGTTTAGAGTTTAGGGTTTACGGTTTATTTAGGGTTTAGAGTTTATGGTTTATTTAGGGTTTAGGATTTAGGGTTTATTTAGGGTTTAGGGCTTCCTGGGCTCTGACTCAGAGCGGGTGCGCTCGCAGACGCCTTGAGCTTAGGTTCGAGATGGCTGAGTTCCATCCCTTCGAAGGGGAGCGCCAGGTGCCCCTTTTTTCATGAGTGAGGATTTTGGCACTGAGGTGGGTTGGTGGAGGGGGGGGTGTAATCCTGCTGAAGTAATCAAAGGCAAAGGCTTCAAAGCGTTGTCTCAATGCTTTTCGTCAGCATCTGCAGATGTGGTTGATTACACCGGGTGCGGGTGGCTGCGAGTGAGAAGGTCAAGAGATCTTGAGAGTTTGAAGCTTCGGCTCGAGGTTTCGCGTTTTTTTGGGGTTCGTGATGTTTAAGGGTCAGACGCTCCGGTTGCTAGAGATGCAAAATTGAGCCTGGCAAGGACCCTAAAAGTCTCCAGAGCCCTGCCTGCAATCTGCAAGGCCTCGCGCAAACTTGCAGACAAGCCTACTAAGCCCAAAGCCTGAGCACGAAACTGCTTGCTAACTGAGCAGACGACCTTCATTGGCGAGGTTCACAAGAGTCAAAGTAGATCCCTTAAGGGGGTTCCTTTAAAGTGCACTTTAATAGTTAGGGTCCCAAATTAGGGGATCTACCGTTTTAGATCAACGATAACCAAAAGCGTTCTTCAAATCTCCTTCGAAAGCGGCTTGAGATCCTAAGTCCCAGGCCCTACCGTGAAGCCCAGCTAGGCGTTGCAGCAACGTGCCGTCAGCGAGACGGTGCTGAATTGGGCACCCGAGGCTCTTGCAGCTGAAGAGAGAGGATTTCTGAGGCTTTAGTTTCTGGATTCCGCTCAGGCATTCACCTATGTTGTCACGTCTGGGAGCACTTACTTAGTTGTTAGGGTCCATGTGTAGGCTCTATCGTGTTTGGGTTTAGGTTTGGCGTCCTGTGGAAGTTTGGCGAGTTCTGATCGATCAAGCCCCTACCCCCAGACTTCCAACACCCACCCAGCCACCCGCCCAGTCACGCCACCCCGACGCTGACGCACACCACGCCTAGATGCGCCCTAACTAGGTTTCCAGGAAAACGGGTCGTCAATAAATGCATGGAATACCTGTGAAGTGGTCCTAAGTCTCTGCCCATCCTTGCTCGATTTCACAGGGCTCCTGCCTCTTGACTGAACTCATGGCCACGAGGACGTAACCTACGCTCCTCACTGCCTGGCCCGTGAGAGTCGGGCGAAGATCGTAGGCGCATCAGATCGGGGGCTCAGGGGGGGTTTTATGGGTTTGGGGTTTAGGGCTGAGGGTTTTATACACGGGCTTGACCTGTGATTTGTTGCAGCGAGCTCTTTTACCTTGGAATTGTAAATTATGAATTATAACCTGATCGGGTATTATGTCAGTTTGCGAGGCTGACTTTACGTCTCAGCATTTGATTGAGAGTCGATGCAGCTCAAGCGATCTAGGGTACCATAGAGGTTTTGTCAAGACGCCATCTAGGATGTATTCAGGTATCATCTTCATTCGCTACCTTGTCAGAGCTTGGGGAAGGAAACCCGATGAAATAAACCCTAAACCCCTAAACCCTGAACCTAAAACCCTAAACCCCTAAACCCGAAACCCTAAACCCTAAAAAGCCTAAAACCCATAACAATGGAGGATTTCCATCGCTGACTTGAGGCTCAGGCGCTTGTAAAGGATGAGATCCTTGGATACATCGTCTTTGTGAAACCGGGGTTCAGCGTTTCTGCTTTTTGGGATTTTGGAACCCTACACCCTAAACCCCTAAACCCTACGCCCTAAACCCCTAAACCCTACACCCCTAAACCCTACACCCTAAACCCCTAAACCCCTAAACCCTAAACAGTAAAGGCCCCTTTCAGAGGGTGGCGGCGCGTTTAGGGCTTGGGTTTGAAAGTTTCTGCTGATTCGAGAAAGTTCCAAAGCAAGAACAACATAAAGCAAGCAACACAAATAGTTTGCAGTGCCGAAAATTCTCGCAAGAAGACATTGCAAAAACATGCAGAACGGAGCGTGTCAACTATGGAAAAGTCCACTGGCAAGATAAAGCAACAGCATCAAGATACCGAGCCACGGATGGAAACCGCCATACATAATCCAACAGAACGCAGACACACAAGAGGAGAGGACAGACGGAAAACGTGCCGAATAATAACAGCACAGCGAAGGGCATTTACAAACAGAGCTCCATCACCGATACACAGACACTTCAGTGAACTTCAACAAGCCCTGAACGATCCCCCCTAAAAATAACAAACGACAATGATGGATAACCTAGCCGACTCAGGGAACCAAAACAGCATAGAATATTTAACACAAAAGAAAAGGATTGCACCGAAAGCCGGCGACTCAAGATAAGACTCGCAACATTCCCCAAAAATTCGAACAAACTTTCATTTTCGGAAGGCAAATGCCAACAACAAACCACCTAAGAGCTCAGAGACACTTACAAAGAAGCCCAAAAGCACCCGAACAAAAAAAAAAAGGCTCCAAGCAATCCCAGGAGTTCGAAAACAGCAAAACCGCAAAAGCCTCACCAACTGATTTTTGAATCAGTTGGTGCAACATTTTGTCAATCAAAAACATCGCCTAAAACTTGCACCAGCAAACTCCGACGATGCCTGAACAACAGCCAAGATACCCCAAAGCTCCCCCCCCCCACCCGAACAACAGCAAATTCAAAGTAACCAAAACACCCAGTATGTTCTGGAAAACATTTTAAAAGAAGCAGCAAAGCAGTACGGAGCCTCCAAAACACAAAAGCAGAAACGCAGCAAAACCGAACTCGTAAGACCAATCCAAAGTAAGCACACGACACAGAAAACATAAGTCGGCCAACAAGCAAATCATGGCCATCATCATCACCCTCATCATAATCACTATCCTCACAATCATCATCACGTTTTCATCATGACGACCATCATCTCTATCACCATAACCATTGCCATGGTCACCATCGCCATCATTATGCGCGCTAGAACCCGGAAAGACGCCCAGACAAAATCAACAAGGACCAAAATTCCAAGGCAAACACGCACACCCGACAGCACAAGAGCAAGCCTGATATCCCACAAAAGCCGAAGAACAACAGCTCAACAAAAGCGTTTCCGGATCGCGCGTTTCCCGTCCTGCTTCTCGTTCCAGAGCATTACTAGGTGAACAGAATGCCCCAGTTTGCCAACCTTTTGCTGTGTTTTCTTTCTTTCAGTAAGGTTAATGAAAGAAAGCATCGGTTGCCAAACATAGTATACATAGGATGTCCACAACTGTTTTGTTTTAAACAATCTCTCAAAACTTGCACTCAAGCTCTTAGACATAGATCACACCTCGACTACATCTTGGAGCTCAAGCCCCAACCATTTGCCAAACCTCAGCCGTTACCGAGCTTCAACCTGGATGACTTGCAAAAGATTGCCCGAAGATCTGTCGAATCAAAAGACTGGCTATGTTGCATTTTGAATTGAAGGAAAATGGAACTAAACATTATATTGTTTTTTTCCTGGGGTGGGGGGGGGGGGGGGGGTGGGCAACATGTGGGACGTGTAATCTACACTGCTGCGTGCCTGTACTTTCGCTACTTCCATCCCTATTCCTACACTACAAGAGCTACCCTCATATTCTGGTTTTGGCATCACTGACCTCTTGGCAGTCTTAGGGTCGTTGGCAATGACTGACTTGTGAGGGGCAAGGATTCTGCATCCTGCTTCCTCTCCTTCTGCTGCATTTTCACTTTGAGCCGCTTTAGCCTTTAGGCTTTCACTGCTTCTGCCATGATTACTGTGTCAGGTGCATCTTTGTGGTTCAGGGGCTTTGTTGAGCTTGCACGACTGCTGAGCGTGTCCTTTGAAGGAAGCTAAACCCTAAACCCCAAAGGCCAAACCCTAAACCCTAAATCCTAAACCCTAAAGCCCAAACGCTAAACCCTAACCCCCTTTGCTCTCTTTCCGCCAGGAGCGGAGTCGCTGGAAGACGGCGAGGATCATTACCTGAGCACGGAAGAGAGGCAGAAGGCTGGAAAGGGTACTACAGGGGCCTTAATAATTAGAACAGGGTTTTGGGGCCCATTATACTATAATGATAATAAGAAACCACCACAATAGTATTGGTAATTACTGAGGCCCCTACATTACTTTAAGGGTTCTCTAGGGGTTTCTATAAAAGGGTTTTCTATAAGGGTACTTTAAGGGTTCTATATAATGATCATGGAGAGGGCTAGAAGCCTCAGTCCACCTACAAGCGAAGGTTTGGGAGATTTCGAGTTTCAGGTCCAGGGTGTAGCGTTTAGGTACATCAGCATCTTTTGCCTATGAAGGTCTAGTTGAAAGGCTTGTCGCGTCATATGGAACCTCATGAAGAGCCCGCTGAGATCCTAAGATGGCAGGAGATCCTCCATGAAATCCGAAAAGTGGTGTAAGCCTTTTGGCTATGATGGTCCCTGGGAGTCCAATGAAAGATTTTGTAATCTTGAAGCATCACATGCAAATGAAAACCTTACGAATCTCGAAAAATGCCCATGAAATTCGATGGCCTACAGCCACTGCTTCTTGGAACCACTATGAGGATGAGGGGTTGGACAACATGCAATGAGTATTTATCGGTGCTGTCCATGCCTTTGGGAGCCTATGAAGCTTTCTACCAATCCTTACATGGATAGTTTTCTAAATTCGGGTCCCGCTTTGGGTCCCCAATTAAGTATGGCACCCTTATCGAAACGACCCCCAAAAGGGACCCTATAATTCAGAGAACGACCCACATCATCCATCCACATCTTGCGAAAATCTTTTTGCATCGTCTTCGAATCACATGCAACATGAGCAAATCTTTTGAAATCCCAATCAAAAACCTACGAACTCATGTGAGGTGATATGGTTTCGATGCCGCACGATGCTGGAAATCCTGTTCATCAAGTTCTGTTGAAGTTTCAAAAATCGTCTGATACCCAGGCATTCCTATGAGATCCTGTGAAGTCCGTCCTAAAAGCCCGTGCAAACAGAAACAACCCAAGACAGAAAACAGCTGTAAAGCAGAAGCAGTATGCCCAAACGTCGCGAGTGTACCCGAGCTTGGAAACCCGAACCCTGGGGTAGGCTAGCAGAGAACGGAAGGTTACACCCTGAGGCCAAGGAAATGACCAGGGAACCTCAGAAGAATCCCTCAACTTTCGACAGCCTCGGCTAAACCCTGAACCTGAACCCCCCCCCGTCCCCACAAAAAGCTGCAACGCAGGATGCCGTTGGCGCCTGCTACCACGCCGTGGGTGTCGACAGCACCACGGCCAATGGCGAGAGAGGGCCTTCAGAGGGGCGGGAGGGTGAAGTTGGTTGGTTGATAAGAGTGCGGCTTAGAGATGGCCAGACAGTTCATTGTACTTTAGTTTTAGACATCCTTGCCTCGGCTCATGTGGTTGCGAGCAGACTGCTACTAGCAGGGCCGGGTTCAAGGCACTTCGAGGCAAGGTGTTATAACGTGAAGCCTCGGGATGGCATTCTCGCATTCTAAATGCCTACTTACCAGTGGATCTCGGGCCTCGCAGGCAGTGGTGTGGCAGCTGTGTCGACCTGGGGTGAGGATGGCATACCTGGAAAGAAGCGCCCCGGCAACATGCGGCCCATCCCTCCCTCCTAAGCGCTGACCGCGGTGATCAACAGGAGCTGCGATGTGTAGCGTAAGCTTTGAATTCGGGGCCCTTCGAATCGGGTGTCATTGTAGGCAATGTGCATAGACATGCGAGGACATGGGGATACTTCGGCAAGCCCTCGCCCGCGGATCTTTGATTCTGCTTCAAATCCTATTCTATTCTGCTTTGAGTTGCAAAGAATTCCCACGACGTAGAGATGTTCCTGGAGTACAAGAGCCTTTTTTGAGCCCTTTTGACATCGAATCTGTCACTGCAGTCCTAGAGTCCTAGAGGTTTGAATCGAAGGGAGGCTCAACATCAAGAGTATCTACAGATGAGGCCGCTGCAGTGCTGGACAACATAGTTCTGGGTGTAGGGTTTAGGGTAGAGCTTGGCCGCTTTAGCCTTATAGCTCAGGAACACCGACTGGGTGGATATCATCCCCAATGTTGTCGAGATGAACGCGAACCATGGCTCAAGAAAGAGGAAATGCTTAACAGATGCCGTTCTGGGGAGAGGTTTCCAAGGCACGCAACCCAATACGACCCGATGTCCTACTGTAGATCTGGAGGTTCAGGAGCTTTGCTTTCTACTTCTTCTGTTTCATGTTGGAAAGGAGACAGGCTGCCCATTCCCAAATTAATAGCTTGATTGCGGTGAGGGAAAAGGAGAGAGAGTCCACGGGGGACAAATGGTCCGGGCATGTACTTAAGCCCAGCTCACAGGGTTTCAATCAGCAGCCGGGGTCCCTTCTGTTTTTTCCAATCTCTAACGGCACATTTAGTTGAGGTCCCGGCTCCCGTTTAAAGGAGCTTGTGCCACGTGCACCCAGGCCCAGGAAAGATCCAGTGATCTACCTGCTTCTCCTTTGCTTTCAGGTGCTGGGTTCGTAGGGTTTGAGGGTTCCCTTACCGATCAGCACGAACCAACAGGGCGCCGTTGTGGGGAATCAGAGTCCTCAGCCGCCCTTGAGCCAGAGTGAAACCCTAAACCCCAAACCCCTAAACCCCTAAACACCCTAAACCCAAAACCCTAACCCCTAAACCCAAAACCCCTAAACGCCAAAACCCCAAAACCCCTAAACCCCTGAACCCTAAAAACCCCTAAACCCCAAAACCCCAAAACCCTAAAGACCCCTAAACCCCAAAACCCCCAAACCCCAAACCGCAAGGAATCCGACCTTCCCGGGTCTCACCGCCGATGCGGTCTGGGATTGCTCCACCCGCGACATCAACCGAAGCTCGCATCGCCTGAGCAGGGGTGTCCTAGGGTTTTGGGTTTAGGGGTTTAGGGTTTAGGGGTTTTAGGGGGATTAGGGGGTTTAGGGGTTTTAGGGGTTTAGGGGTTTAGGGTTTAGGGGGTTAAATGGGGACACCATGGTTTCCCAGAAAACCCAATAATTGCCCTAAACTAAGGCCTTAACATTATGACTTGAGGTAGATTCCTTAATCCCCTAAATAAACCCTAAACCTTAAGCCGTTATAGATCCCTATAAGGAACCCTTAAAGGTGTATATCCCTTCTAAACCCTAAACCTTAAACTGTTATAGATCCCTTTAAGGAACCCTGAAAGGTCTGTATATCCCTTGGGTTCTCTGGGACCCTATAAGGAACCCTTAAAGGTGTATATCCCTTAGCAAGCCCCCAAACTCTTATAGATCCCTTTAAGGAACCCTTAAAGGTAATATATATGTATATATATATATATACATATATACATCCCTTAGTTAAGGGGTATTGGGTTCTCTGGCGTTCTGGTCAAGGAGGTGAACACAAAGGGGAAGAGTTTCCAGGGTGGGTTTACACCGTGGTTTGGGTTTTCTCTTGGGTTCCTTAGAAGGGATCCTTAAAAGGGATCTATAGGGTTTAGGGTTCCTTAAAAGGGATCTATAGGGTTTAGGGTTCCTGAAAAGGGATCTATAGGGTTTAGAGGAGTTGGGTTTTCTCTCTTGGTTTGTGCCTCTTTCTTCGAGTGTTTGTTGGTATTCCGAGGCCCAAAGCCCGGCACAGGTGCTCAATTCCAGCCTTCCCCGCTCCTGGCAAATCCCGAGGCCTTTGGCCACGATCTGCTGAAATTGTTGTGAATCTCAGCCAGGGGAGCCGGATCAAAAAGGATGGACATCCATGATCACCCATCGCCACAGTTTTCTGCAATTGCAATACTTTCAATACTTAACGTGAGTCTATGAGTTCCTCTTGGCCTCCTTTACACGGTTTGGCCAGGCCCATGTGGACCCCCATGTAATCGTTTCGGAGCTCTTAAAGCAACTTCAGAAGAGAACTTCGGACACAAGTTGGCCTTCCGTGGAATGACGCAAGTTTCGCCACAACGGAAGGAAACTACAAGATGGCGGGCTGGGAGCGCAACGCCGAGTTTCAGGAAAGCATCATTGAGATCCTCGGAGAGATTTGAAGGGTTTGGAAGGGTTATCGAAGTTGGCAGCAGTAGCTGCATGCCCTGGACCAGGATCGCCAGTGGTAGTAATCAATCAATCAATCAATCAATCAAAGAAGGTGCAAATATTCTTTCTGCCCCATCGGATATATTGGATAATGCTGATGCTTTGAAAATCGCGATAAATAGAATGCAAGAAGAGAAAAGAAAATGTTTTGGTCTCAAAAAGCTTTCATTAGATCTGTCACTAGCTATAGTATGGAAGCAGTTTCGCAGGATTAATGCGAAATTCTTCATCAGATATACATCCGTCTTTATAGTTGGTTTGATTTCATATACTAAGTTAAGTATTCAAGATGCTTGTATCATTTTGATAGAATTAGAGTTGGCTCTCTGTGTCTGTGTGTGTCAGTGCGCATGCGTGTGCGTGTGGGGGTGTAGGGGTGTGGGGGTGTGGGGAAAGGGACGTCACTCTCCATCTTGTTGCAGGGGGACGGAGAGGGCGCAGGGGAGCTCCGTCCAACCAAGCTCTTGCTTGCACCCTAGGCAAACGTGCCTGCGTAGGTCTGCGCCTGGGCCCCGGCGTGGGCAGCTGGCGGGACCTTAATCCTCATTGTCACCCTCATCTCATTTCGTGCAGTGTGACTCTGTCGTCTCACACAGCGAGGGCCAAAAATTTTAACCGCGCGATGCCTGCTCTTATAGTTCAATAAGCCGCGATGCCTGACCCCTACAGTTCAACGGTCCGCGATGTTTATCCAGTAATTTCGGCAGGCAAGCCCGTCCCCCAAAGCTTCCACCCCCAAAAGTGGATAACTGGGCACAGCGGATACCATATATATATATACACACACACACACCAGTGGGCGGGTGTTCCTTATAATACGCGCAGCTGTGTTCCCTAAGTGCCATGCGGCCAACAGCATGGAGGCATGAAGCCATTCATTCATCAAGGCTGGGATGTTGCCAGATGTCTGCCGACAGTCCCCAATCCTGACAGCACCCGACGACCTCGCCAGAAAGGCTTGCTTGTTCTTGTTATGTTGGCGTTTGGATATGCATGTCTTTCTAATTGAATCTTGCTGGTGCACTTCTCGCTTGGCCATATTTGCAAAGCTTCTCCAGTGGGTACTTCAGCCAACCATGCCTAAGTTCAAGACGACCACAGGTCACAAGAAACGGACCTTTCCCAGCTGCCGAGGAACTATGTACAGCCTGCCCAAGAAGGAGACGGGGTCGGGAACCCAAAGATTACCCGGAATCTTGAAGAATCTTTAAAGACACAATCCTTACAGCCATCAGTGCTCCACAACAAAAACCGGCTTCATCCACACCAAAAACCCCAAACTCGGGCCTAGATACAGCCCTTCGAATCTGCCAGAAGCGAAAAGACCCTTTAATCCCAAATGCCGTCAAAGCGTAAACAATGTAAATTTGACTGTGACCCTGGGCCGCAATCCTGAACCCAGCCCCTACATATGTAAAACATCCTGAAACCTGAAGCCTGCAGCACCTAAACGACCCTTCCCGAGCGGACCCTTTCGCCAGGAATTTGTTCGATGATCCCGGGTACAATCACTTTGGCAGGCGATGCTTTTCCTGGCGACCGTGGTAGAAGCCCAGCGAACCCAATGCCCCTTAGTTAGGAAAGTGCCGAGGGACTACTCGGGATCTGAAACGCGGCCGTCGTAGAGAAGACACGGGCCCTGAGATGTCCTAAGATGTCCTGATGAGCGGAAAGCGACAGTGTGCAACCGGCTAAGCAAGACCTGATGTAAGCTGCAGCTGCAGCTGCTCAGATTCGCGTTGTGACTGCTTGATTTCAATGTTGCAGCAACTCCTTGGAGGCGTCCAGGTCTTTCTTATCTGCTTGTAGCTTCGTGGGTCGGAGAGTTATGTTTGCGGAGGGAGAGGGGAGGACTTTGTGAGCGGGCTCAGGGCTTCTACGGGGTTCTTGAAGTTGTGTTGGCTCCTTTCGGGACGTCACGGGGTTTCTATGGCTTAGATTCAGGCCTTCGGGGGCTCATCTGGTATTTCAGGGTTCAGGCTCTAGGGCTTTTGGGTTCAGGATTTTTTCCAGGCCAGCGACCCTGCATCCTGAAGCCTCTTTGCATTTCAAGCCCTGAGCACTCGACCACTAAATCCGAATTAATTAATTCTGCAACGCTACTTTAGGGTTTAGGGTACAGCCTTTATCCCGGAAGCCTTGCAAGACAGAGGACATCTGCCCGCAAGGGGGAGGGGCGGGGGGGGCCTGTTTTGCAGAGTTGAGGGGAAGCTCCGAATTGGGGGGAGGGGGGGGGGAGGTAAGTTTGCGTTGGGGGTTTTAGGGGGCTGAGTTTGCACTGTGTAGGGCATTGAATGGTTGTGGGTCACAGGCCTTGCTTGGGCTTGAGGAGTTTCCATTCCCGCACTCACTTGGCCTGGTGAGTCTCGGCAGGAGCCATCGCCGCGTATGCAGGCCCAAAGATGGACGCTCGGACTCTAGAAGTTCGATTTAGGGTGTGCCCTGCCTGAACCAGAAAGTTAGGGTTGACAAGGGTGCAACTCCGCGGGTAGGGCGGCGTATTTCCAAAGCCACCTGGCGTGGGAGTGAGGATCAGAAAGTAGAGTGAAGGGGGCGAAGGGGCCCCTGGCTTCCGTGTGTGTGGTTTAGGGTTTAGGTTTCCAACTTTTGTTGTTTTCGTTCACATGCTCTCGTGACCCGCGTGATAAGCTGCAGCCGCGGTGTTTCTGACTGGTTGCCTTGACGTTCGCATGGCACCGTTTCGGGTACAAATCTCGTTCTGACAGAGGCCACTCAAACTCTAGACTTAGACTAAAGTGCTTCATGCAACTCATCACTTCATGCTACCAACTCGATCGACCAAGCTCTTTGCCATGATTTACATAAGAATAAACACTCGTAGACGCAAATGTTGTCCGCTGTATGCTACAGCCGGTTGGATTCTGATCCTAAGTTCATGAGTCTCCTTTCGGCACCCAGACGTATCATGGCAGGGGTCGAGCCGGGGCACAGCCCTTGATGCTTTGGAGAGCAGATTCCTAAAACAAAGTCATCTCCAGTGTACCTTACACGCATCGACCCATCAGACCCACAGTCCGGTTTGGACGTATTCCAAGGAGCTGAGTGCCATCTGCAACGCCCCTTTTGCTGCAAATTCAGAAGTGGACTCGGAGAGTAGGAAGACTTCATCTGTTTGTGCCATAGGCAACAGTACCCAGAGAACCCAATACCCCTTAACTAAGAAATATACCTTGAATCATAATATGAAGGCTTCTAGAATCTAAAATCTATTCCTGAATTCAGGGGTATTGTGTTCTCTGGGAATGGGTGTGAAAAAAGAGACCTTGAGCGGAGGGCGGGACTCCCTGCATTATGAGCGGTCAGGAGCCGGCTTGGAGTCTATAACGTCCAAGGATTTAGGATTTAGGGTTTAGGGGTTTGGGGGTTTGGGGGTTTTGGGTTGAGGGTTTAGGGTGTGTCTATAAGCGTTTTAGTTCTAAGATGTGCTCCGAAGCAGCGTGGTGCGATTACGGGCCTTGGGGTACCCACCAGAGAATGTTCAGGCTGTAGACCAGGAATCTCATTTAGGCGTGTAGGATTCGCAGAACAGAATACTAACCTACAGAAACCTTCCCCCCGAGGGCCTTGTACACGTTGCTCTGATCAGGAAGGCAGGTTCCTCCCTTCTGGGTAGGGCGGAGGTCCATTGTAGAGCAGAGTGGAGTAGAAGGGACCGCGTATTTGAAGGAGGCCTGCAAGTCTCCGTTCCCTCAACATTGAAGCCTCCATGATGTAAAAGAAGTTACCACACCGGGGGTGTATCATGAGCTGCCTTTGAGGTCGGCTGCAAAGAGGTTTTCAAGCAAGCTCGTCGTGGCCAGGCGTGGGCATCTACCATCTCGGGTGGTGCACTCTTCGCCATTGACCAGCGCCAGAAGTACCGTCAGAAGCGCTTCGATGAAAGCCCTTGGGCCAGAAGTGCGGTATACAAAGGGGCTGAAAGATTCCCCGCTGCAAGCTAGGAGCGCTACACCCGAAACCCTCAGCTCTTGGGGCGAAAGTTTCTGGCTTTGGACATGAAAGGTATCAGAGTCTATTATAGCATCTCACAGTATACTGCACTATACTCTACTGTGGTAGTATTTTATAGTATATGATCCTTTTAGCTGAGACAGAAGGAGGAAGGCTCTTAAGGTCGTACGATCAACATACATCCCTTAAGCAAAAGACGCTCTTGCACTTCAGCCTCAACGGCAATCGGTGAGTAGAGAGATATCACACCGTCAATTCCCGAACCCTCTGAAACACAGCAGGACCCTAAACCCAAAACCCTGAACCCCTCAAGCCTAAACCCAGCTGCCGCGCCGGCCCAGCAGCTTTCTGAATATCCCGACTAAGGGGCCTCTGTCAAGGCTGCAAGACTGCTCAAGGAGTCTTTAGGATGTTAAGGTACCCAGGGAACCCAATATGAATTAAGGAATACACCCTAAAACAGAATATTAAGGTACAGATTCCTTAATTAAGGGGGTATTGGGTTGTCTGCGTATCTGAGGAGCCTGGACCAGGGCGTATAAAGTTTGTAAAGCCCATGATCCATATTTAGGGTGTAGGGTTTAGGGTTTATAGGGTTTAGGGTTTCTTGACTCAAGCTCGAAGCCTAGAGCCATGTAGCCACCAGATTCACAGCCTTTCAGTCCATCATTGCCTCAATTTAGAAGAACCAAATTTCTCTCTAAAAATGGGCCCAGAATTTTTTCTTGGCCAGCGGAGACCCCAGAGTTTGGGACTGAGATGTTAAAGGGGTCGAAGCTCCTTGGAGGTGGGGTTTAGAGTTTAGGGTTTAGGGGGGTTCAGAAGTCTTGAGGTGACTATGCGGATTGCAATCCACTTCAGAACACGATGGCGAAGGTCTACTGCGATCTCTCCTGCGTCGAGGCGCAGTGTTCGGGTATTCAGGGACTCGGACAAATATTCGAGGTTCCGTGTTGGG